CCTGGAGGCAGGACAAGAAGCAACGGGTGGAAACTAATCAAGGAGAGAAGCAATCTAGAACTAAGGAGAAACTTCCTGACAGTGAGAACAATTAACCAGTGGAACAACCTGCCTCCAGAAGTGGTGAATGCTCCAACACTGGAACTTTTTAAGAAGAGACTGGACAGCCATTTGTCCGAAATGGTATAGGGTTTCCTGCCTGAGCAGGGGGTTGGACTAGATGACCTTCAAGGTCCCTTCCAACTTTACTATTATTATTATTATTATTATTATTATTATTATTATTATTATTATTATTATTATTATTATTATTATTATTATTATTATTATTATTAAATATTTTAGCATATGAAAATAAAGGCATCTGGACCAAATTGGAATACATGTTCTTATATCTTTCTTGACTTTTGACAGTCACGTTAAAAAAGAATGATAAATTTAATGCATCTTTCTAATTTTCCTTTAGGGAAAAAAAACCAAGCCAGTAATTAGCACAGGTTCCAAGATTTCCCTTACGTTTACCATAACTTTACATGCAAATATGTATACTACCATGTTTCCCCGAAAATACAACCTACCCAGAAAATAAGACCTAGCTTGATTTTTGGGGTTGGGCCTAATATAAGCCCTACCCCCCAAAATAAGCCCTACTTAAGACCCGTCCCACTCCATCCCACTGTAGGTTTTTTGGCAGGCCAGATTTCATGCCTCCGCCTCCCGCCTTGCCTGCTGCTGGTGCCACCGCTGTGAGGTAGCCTGAGCTTTAAGAGAGCCGGGGCCTGAGGCAAGCAGAGGCTGCCTCCTTTCTATCCCTGCCCTGGATTGGTGAATCCAGCAGGCAGGCGGGAGTGGGGACTGGCAACCTGACCTCGGGCGAGTCTGATTGCTTCAGCTGCGAGGAGCCTGGCCAAAGGTTTCCATCACCTAGGCTTCCTGAAGCTGATGGGAACTGTGGCCCCTGCAGTTGAAGAGTTTAGCTGAGCCACATAGTTGAACGCTCACATAAAGCAGTGGTGCGCCCAGAGTGAGGAAGCAGCGTGAGCTTTGAGGGTGCGAGTGTCTGTATTTCCATGGCTCATGTGCAGAATTTACACCGCATCTTCCCATTGGTGATCAAAGAGGCTAATCATGGTAAATACTAATCATTTTTTTGAAAAATAAAGGGACGGATTACAATATTGATGATGAATATAAATGAAAAGGCAGTTTCCAAAGCCTTCCTCCTCCACTGAGGGAAACCTGAGTTGCCTGGTGGGGTGGGGCGCCAGCCAGGCTGGGCCTTGCAGTGAAAAATATAAGACACCCTCCAAAAATAATCTCTAAAGGTCTTTTGGATCAAAAATAAATATAAGACCCGGGCTTATTTTCGGGAAAACATGGTATACATAACCTTCATCTGGTTTTGGTGAGCTAAATAGTATGATGAGATCACAACCAAAGAATAAGTAACCCAAAGAAATTGAAACCATGAGATAAGAAAAATAAAACAAAGCATAGCCATAGCTAGTTAACACCAACACAACTCATTATACTTTCTGCATCTTCCTATAATTGCAAGCATTCTTACTTCAGCCATATTCATATGTTGCCTCTTTCTTCTTTACATTTTTACTTCCTATTTACACTGCGTTTAACTTAGCTTTATGTTTGTTATATTATGTTGTGCTTTCCCTTCCAAAGTAGGCATAAGCACAAATATTTTCATTACTTTTGACAAATGGGTAGAAGACAGACTACCCAATATCTTTCCATCTTTCCATCATGTGTACGTACATCTTAAAAATTCTCCACCCATTCTCTCACTGATAGTAAATACTCTTCCATTATACATACTGTATATTCTGCAAATTTGTGTACTTGCCATAGTTTTCTTTCTTTTATCTATACATTGCAATTGTCCATTCAATTTTCCCTGTAAAACACAACCTTGTTCTTTCATTAATTTTCAGATTCATACTGCTCATGACTTTGCATAAATATTCCCTGCAAATCATTCAGCCAGCAACATAACATCTGCAATAAACATACTTACATTCAAACTGTAATGTTACCAAAAGTGTTCCACAAGCATTCTTGACGTTTATGGCGTCTATGGCTACCATGAGCTTGTTCCAAGTAATTTCCAACCTAATATATATAGATAATCATGTAAAGTAGTTTTGAAGACCTTGTTTTCCCTTTTGAGCAGTTATGTGATTTGGATATGGAGGATAATACAGCCATAGCAATAGCAGTTAGACTTATATACCGCTTCCCAGTGCTTTACAGCCCTCTCTAAGCAGTTTACAGAGTCAGCATATTGCCCCTAACAATCTGGGTCCTCATTTTATTGACCTCAGAAGGATGGAAGGCTGAGTCAACCTTGAACCGTTCAGAATCAAACTCCAGGAGTGAGCAGTGAGTTAGCTTGCAGTACTGCATTCTAACCGCTGCACCACCATGCCAATATCATTATATCTTTGTCATAGATAATTTTCTAGTCAAGCTGTGTTGTTGGCTGCCCATGATCTCTGCAGGGTTGGATCTATTTGGATGGTCCATCCCTGGCACCTTATGGATCCAGAGATTTTCCATAAGACCCTTGCAGACTTTTTTGACCATTTGATGAACAATTCTATTGAGTGCCTTGTTTGCCACTCAAAAGAGGAAGCAATTGTGGCCCTTGACAGAAGCATTCCTGAGAATGCTCACTTTGTTGGAATGATCACTTTGTGGTCCCCTTATTTAATAATAATAGTATTATTGGTGCAAAACAGCAGAGAAGAACATTTTATATGTATATTTGAATAGAAAAATGTACAGATTATTTAACAGTGTTTCTGTTCCACAGATTGCTTTTCCTAAAATGGTAGCAAGTTGTTGTCGGTTTCTTTGCTATTTTTGCCGGATCAGTCGTCAAAACCAAAAAGCCATGTTTGAGCATTTAAGCTACTTACTTGAAAATAGCAGTGTTGGACTTGGTATGCTATTTAATTTTAATAGTCATTTGATTTATTTTGACATATCACCAGTTTAGTTTGTAACCTGCTACTTTAAATCCTAATTTAACTTATTTTGCGTATTGATACACTTTTTATTTATGTAATTGGTTTTTAAGTTGTGCTGAAGATTAAAAAACTGAATTATAAACCTCAAGAGCTTTTTACAAATCACGTTGTGAAAGACATGGAGCATAATCCTGTTGTGTCCACCACATTTGTAAGGTGGTTGTTATGTGACTTTTCAAAATTAAAACCTGACATATAAAAGATAAGGCATCTCAGATGTGTTGAGATCTGGTCAATGTTGGGGATACTATACTGGTACTCTAATTTTACTAAAATATTACTCCAGCCAGATCAGTAATTTCCTAATACATATGAGCTCCAAACATACATGTACAGTACATATCTGAAAAAAAGACTCATAATTTTTTGAAGTTTATATTTATTTATTTCACCTTTTCAAACCACCCATCTTCCTCATTTTATGTTTGAACTGACCTGTTTGGGCATTATTCCAGAACTATAGTGATGATTTGTGAACTATAATAGCCCTGGCCTCTATAAATTATCAAATTTTTTGAAGTTCCGTGTTTAGTTTGTCCTGGAAAAAATTCATGTGTGTTTCAGAAAGTGAAGATTATTTCATAACATTGCATAACCAAGTATTTGCTGTTTACTGTTAGTTTCCAGCAAACACCTTTATGCGACATGTACTGTTTAGTGACACAATCTATTTATACAATGCACATCAATTATTGTATGGGTTGGGAAAATACCAGGTGGTGCTTCTGCTTGATCAGAGAATTATCATGCTATTTTGATGAGCACACAACATTCACAGTGTTTTGCCACTGATATTTTATACAGAAGTATGCAAAGCATGTTTTAACTTTGCTTTAATATTTTATTATAATTTTATTACAATAAAATAAATAGGAATGAATCAGAAAAGTGAAAGTTGATTAATTATCTCCACTAATTAAGCAACAAAATGATAAACTGAAAGCAAACCAACAACAGTAACAACAATAATTAGCAATCAACAGATTCTCTCCATAAAACATGAAGAAAAGGCCATGAATGTTTGAACTTCAGCTAACTGCAAAGTAACTGCTGCCCTCTGCTGCATAAGGCATGTAGCTACATTCCTGATATTTTAATTCTATGCAATAATCAAGTCTTTTTCCTCCAGCTTCTCCTTCTATGAGAGGGTCCACTCCATTAGATGTAGCAGCTGCTTCAGTAATGGACAATAATGAGCTTGCACTTGCATTGGAGGAGCCAGACCTAGAAAAAGTAATTATTCAATATCTTGTACAACTTTTCATTTTATCATAAATTACTACAGCCTTGATGTTCTCTGAACTTTGTTGTCTTTCTTACAGAATAGGTAACTCATCAGTGTTGAGACATGAGGAAGTGAGTTTTGTTGGCTGTTTATTCATAGCAGCTTTTCCTCTTACATAATGGGGCTTAGTTTTTACTAGGTATATTATTTATTGCTATTGTCACTCAAATATGATCTCATTGCAGATATGTTTAGTTTCCTAATTTGCATTATGAAGAATCAACATGGACCCTGAAACAGTGGTGGGATTCAAATACCTGAACAACTGGTTCTATTGTGTGATGCAGGCATGGGCCTCCGATGCCTACAACGGACTTCCGGAAGTGGCACCATGCACTTCCGGTGGGCCGTTTTAGGCCTGGGAGATTTCCTCCAGGCCTCCGATGCCTAGAACAGACTTCCAGAAGTGGTATCCATGCATTTCCGGTGGGCTGTTCTAGGCCTGGGATGCCTCCAAGGCCTAGACTGGACTTTCAGAAGCCAGCCGGTTCTCCGAATTCAGGTAAATTTAGCTACCGGTTCTCCCGAACCGGTGCAAACCGGCTGAATCCCACCACTGCCCTGAGAGGAACTGGTAGGCCGGCTCACCGGATTTGTTGAGCCCAGGCAACAAAGGAAGCTAAGTTTGTCCCGGAGATGTTCTCAAGCATTTGATCAGGGATTCCCGTGTTTGTGACTGTCCTTGACTGATCCCTTGGTTCATCTATAGATCTGTCAGTGCCGGTCACTTTTTGGGGAAGAAGAAAAACTTTATTTGAATTCAGTCCTTTCCTCTCTGCTCATATTTCTTTCGGTTCTTGTTATGAACTCCTTTTTCGTCTTCATGGCTGCCACTTTTTATGTCTGCTAGCAAATTTTTACAAATCGGTTTCTTCTGAGAGCAATCTCCTTTCTTATAAGTTAAAATGATTAGCTTCAGTGAAATTGGTTCCTTATGTTCTTTACATTTTCGCAAGTTTAAAATACATGTGTGTTCCTGCATCTCCCCACACCCACATGTATCACATATGTTGTTTCATCTTCACTCCGATTTTGATTGCTTAGAACAAAGACTAAGGTGATATTCATGTTTGTATTGAACAGGTTGTAACCTACTTGGCAGGCTGTGGTCTTCAGAGCTGCCAAATGCTTTTAGCAGCTGGATACCCTGATATTGGTTGGAATCCCATAGAGGGTGAACGGTATCTCTCATTCTTAAGATTTGCCGTCTTTGTTAATGGTAATTTATTTATTTATTTGATTTATATTACAGCTTTCTGTTTAAATATAATTTAAACACCCAAGGCACTTAAAAATAAGTATTGAATTGACATCAGTTAGGATTACTCTGCTGAGACTTGATTTTCTCACTTGCTACACAGCAGAATAATAGCTGAAACTGTTTAATAGTGCATACCAAGCATGTCAAACTGCCGGCCTGCGGGCCAGTTGCATCACGTCAAAACCACGCCCACCCCATTGCCGGCAATGGGGGGAAAGTCCCAATATGTGACATCGCGAGTTTGACATGCCAGGTATATACCATCAGGCTGCATAGAAACATTTGCAAATGTATACTAAAATTTTTGTTACTCTAGAGAATAATCTACTTTATATGGCATATACCTCATTGTGTCATGTATATAAATATATACATGGCACAGAAGAATAATGTTTGGCCAATTCGGTGAGAGAAGATTTAAATGCAGATAGTAATTACATAAAGTTTAGATGAGTGTAAAATTATTACAGTGGTCTCTCAGCTGTAATGGCGCAATCTGTTTGCAAACACACAGGGGCCTAGCAGTCTGGCAATCTAGGCCTCTGACTCCTGTGGGGAGGTTCCTAGATCAGGGCTCACCCAGATCTTTTGTATTTGTATTTATATTTTATTCAGATAACTGTGTTCTGTGTTTTGTGGGTTTCCAGGTGAAAGTGTTGAAGAAAATGCCTGTGTCCTTGTAAAGCTTCTTATTCGACGGCCGGAATGTTTTGGCCCTGCTCTCAGAGGAGAAGGAGGGAACGGTCTGTTAGCTGCTATGCAAGAAGCAATTAAAATTTCTGAGAACCCAGCTCTAGATCTTACTTCTCAGGGTTCTAAGAGAAAATTGTAAGTGAATGTTATCAGAAGGCTAACAAAGTAAGATAAAAAATAATCTTAAATATAAATGCCAAAATTGCCTTATCAGTGCCAGCTAGCTGCTCCATAGGATTTCAAACAGGAAAGTTTCCCAGCCATGGCAAGAGTTTGATTTGGCAGCTTTCATGCTCAACATTTCATGCTCAACATTCTTTCCACTAATTATTTTTTGTAATTCAGAATCTAAAAACCTAGCATAGCAGTAATTCTGGCAATACTGAAATGAAGTCAGAATACATTTCTCCCATGTTTTCATCCACTTATTTGCCCTATATAGCGGAATATATTGTTGAGATAAATTTTGACCCAATACAACTGCAGCAATAATTGTGTAAGATTACTTTAGTTATAGTTTGTTAATCTTTATTTATAGCATATCTCAAATTATCCGTAGAATTTCAGGTTTCTTCAAAAGCCAGGAAGTAATGAAAAGCATTATATAGTACTGTATAAAATAGTACATATACATTTTCAGTTATGGTTGATCGTACAGTCCACCAGATTAGACTGAATTTGGCATTTTTAATTCACCTATTGAGTCTTTCTCAAGGACCTGAGATAGGCAGACATTGTTTGATGATTTTGGAGATATTGTTGCAGGATGTAAACTGTTCCGAGTTAGGCTGCCTTTTGCAATTGACTGATGGTAATTTTGTCAATGCCAATAGTTTTCATGGGGTGCTCCAGGTGCTATCTTTGCTATCACTAGGTACCTGTTGCTATCTTTGCTTTCTTTTTGCCACAGTCATCTTTGCAATGGGTAAGCATCTTTCTCTTATCATTACAGTGCTTTAATTAATTGCCTGCTTTGTGAGAATTGGAAAATAGTACAGGAGTAATTCCTGCACTGATATCAATGCCAAACTACAGTTCAATAACATTCCAGACATTTTATGTAGTATTTATTATTTCCTATATGAAACAAGTAATGCAATGAAATATCTATAAGACTGAATGGGACTGAAAGCACTCTGTTTCTGTTGCATTATAATCTCTCTCTCATTTTGGTTAATCGGAGAGGAGAAAGTTGACATTTTCCTTTTTTCTATTATTGAAAAAGATTTTCTTTGTAATTTAACTAAACTTGATTAAACTAGTTTGACACAAAACTAAAAGCAGGCAGCTTTTTTTTTTAAAGAAAAGTTGCTTAGAGAAAAGATATATTAGTATGAAAATCAATTAGAGTACATTTTCTTCTTTTATACTTGCTACTTCCCCACACAAATTATCTTCACCAGGTACTGTTATAATAACTGAAACATGTATTATGATTATGTAAATTAGATGGAAGAAGCAGCTAGGAGAGCAAAGGTGATTTGGAGTAAACTTATAATGGAAAGAGAAAAATTAAAACATAGCATGGACTGTATACCAATCCTTTCCAGAGTATTTTCCTTCTTTCTTTCCCTCTTCTTTTTAAAAGCTATTCAGAATTCAGTACACATATGTATGTAAGGTTTAATTACATTTAGAAGAATGTATTTATACCAGACTATTAAGTTCATTTCATCCTAAGAATTTGTCAGTATGTGAATTACTATTGGGAAGCATAGCAGAATTCCAGCTGGAATGTGTTTTATTTATTTTATGAAAGCTTAAAGAAAAAAGGGAATACATTTAAAAGTAACATTTTGTATTTGTAACAATTTGCTGTAGGGTTAACATTACAAAAAAGTATGAAAAGTATACAATATAAGGTAGCAAATTGACTTGCTTACACTAAAGAAGACAAATTGCTTAAAAAACATAATAGTACTTTTGAATTTTCTAAATAACCTCAATATTTATTTATGGCTACATGGTTTCTTTTCACTAGTTTAGAAGAAGATGAGGAAGAGGAAGAGACAGTCCACATGGGCAATGCAATAATGTCTTTCTATTCAGCTCTTATAGATTTGCTTGGTCGTTGTGCACCAGAACTCCATGTAAGTAGCTTTGTTATTTTTGTAGGAACAGGAATTTTAACACGTGAATTTTCTAAATTATCAATACATGAATTATTTCAGTTCATGCCTATCTTCAGTGGTTGATCATTCATACTCCATAAATATTATAAATTTATAATTTCAGTAAAAGGAGAAGAAATTATTTCTGTCAAATTAATATGCAGTAATGGAAAGAATTAGGGATCAGAAGGAATAACGTATAAGGAAAATAACTCCAATGCATTCCCAGAAAATGCACTAGTCTCTCCTGACTGGTAAAGGAATGGATATACAGTAATACAGTACATGGAAAAAGTTCCAGTTTCTTAATCAGAACAGAAACATTTAAATCTTGTTGATGTGACCACTAAGCTATCTTCATTTACTGAATAAAAAAACAAGGTGGTTAGGTTTAGAGATGAATGGAAACTATTCTAGCAAAGATCCCTTAGATTAGGGGACTTGATTGTCAAGGACCTTTTATGTATTTATTTATTTGTTAGAAAGCTTTCCACCAGGAGTTAATGTTACTCTATACTCTTTCCTTCTTCATTTAGTTTATTTATTTATTTAGTATATGGCATCTTCATTTAGTATATGAACTCAATAAAGAATAGGGAACATGTGGCCTTGTTCATACTGTATGTTGATGAACTAAATTCTTACTAACCCCAAGTAGCAAGGCTGATAGTGAGAAATACTCTGAATTATAATAAAGTACTCCTGGAGGGTCACCACTATTCTTTTTCCTCTCTCCTTTTAATCCAGTCAACCACCGCCGCCCATGATCAAAAAATTCCAGTTGTTCCTATTTCTCTTCGTCGTATGTATCAGTATATAGCACTAATTTAAGCCATAGAAGTATTATTTGAACATCAGTATTGAAATAAGTCCCTATATTTGGAAATATAGGAGGAAATGTGAGAAAGAAGACACATTCTACTTTATGTATACAAAAAAAAAAAAGAACTTAAATTTAAGTGGATCTTCCTAAAATGGATGTTAAGATAGAAAAATCTGCCTCCATTGCCATATTCTCAGTAAATCTAAACCATTTTAATATGAGGAAAATCACTGAAGGGAGGAAAAAACAAGTTGCTTTTATGTAAATAAAAGAGTATTCTTTTATTTACATAAATAAAAGTATTCTTGGATATTTCTAAAAATTAAGAAAATATTTCTGTGAAGATAAGAAAAATAAAAAAAAATGATATAACATTCTTTTACAGCTTATCCAAACTGGGAAAGGTGAAGCCATTAGAATACGGTCGATTTTGCGTTCCCTTGTGCCAACAGAAGATTTAGTTGGAATTATAAGTATTCCATTAAGACTACCAACAATAAACAAAGGTAATTGAAAATCATTCTAACTTGAGTTGGGATGGAAAATCCAAGTGGCAGATTGCTATGTTTCATCTTGTTCAGATATTCTCCTTTAAAAGCTTACAAGATAAGATAAGATAACCTTTATTGTCATTTTTTACTGTGGGCAGACTGGCACACATTAAAAATGAAATTTTGTTGCCTGCTCTCAAAAGTGTATATGACACACATATAAACATGCTATATACAACATATATATATACTTACACCCTTAAATATAAATACATATAAATATTAATCACTGTCCCTGTATGAATAGATTGTAAAGTATTTTAAGTTTCTCTTGCAATTGTATTAATTTTATCATATTATAATTATATGCCAATAATTATTTGAAATAAATAAGAATATAAAACATTACAAAATGAATTTAAATTATATTTACCCAGCTTGCTATGTAAATTATATGATAATAAAGCAAACATTTATTTTACATAAACTCCTTGATTATGTAATTGTCCTATACCCCAAACCATGGTCTATGTAGAACTATATTTGAAACATTCTAGACTTTGCCTCTTAATCTCTTCATTTTCAGCTATCAGTTATGTAGAAATCTTTTTGAGAGGAGGGAGATTATTATTTTTTTTAAAAAACCAGCTCACTATAGATGGTGGTAGATGACAGAGTACATTTTATAGGTTTGTGAGTACATTTTATAAGAGTGTTGCACTTTAACAATAATTCCAATAGAATGTCTTCTGAATATTGAACTTCTTGAAGGGACTGTGCCAAATCTTCAAGACAGTGTGACATCTTGACACTTGGAACAGCAGGTTTGGAGAGGCATTTTGGTGTCCTGGGGAAGCAACTGACGGAATAATTGATATAGATCCCTATAAAACGCATTTCTCTTTGATTTTCTGGTAAAAATGATTCCCAGGGCCATTGTGTCCATGTAAAGATGTAAAACAAATAAACTCCATTGAACTTGTAGAGGCCATAGTGCAATGGAGCAAAATCCTATTTTGGTGAATGTATTGGTGGCTCCCCCAACCAATATCTATAGGTAAACCACAGTTTTGTGTGTTGGAATCTGGCATTATGATTTTATTTGTTTGTTTGTTTGTTTGTTTGTTTATATTTCACCTTTCTTAACTGCCTCATCTCCCTCAAATAGGGGCTCTGGGCAATGCAGAATGTTAGCAGTATAATATTCCATAGGAACTAACAGGTCACCATCTGAAAATTCCTTGTCTTGTCTTCCTGTTTTTCAAACAAGATCATAAACAACAACAAAGAGATTGCTGTTTTTATATCATAAAATAATAATAGCTTTTCAAGGCAAAAGAGCTATTATTTATGTAGTTGAAAATAACACTTATACAGACAAAAAATATCAGAAGAATAGAGGAAATTGCAAGGCCTGCCAAATGTATATAAAAATAGGGCCTGTAAAGAAGGGAAAACAAGCAAAACAGCACATAACAAAACCATGATGATAAAAGTGTAGAATACTAGATTTGAATTCTGAATTTGATAACGTAATGGTGAAACATTTGTTACATTTATATCCCAAAGCAAATTCAAACTATTGTTTGGTCATCTGTTCAGTTTCCTCATTCTTGGTATAGGATTGTGTTTGTCTACTGGTGTACAAAAACTGCTTTTTATTAACCATTTATTAACACTTTAAAACTTCAGAAGCCCCAGCTTATTTCTCTATATATCAAAGTTTGAGTTATTTTCATATAACTTAAATTTCAAAGATTTTACAATATGACCATGAAGTGGATCTGTGCATTTGAATTTAGACTGCTGTATTTTTGCTTTTCTGGTTTCTCTAAACTCAAAGTAGGTGAATGTTGAAATAATGACAGCCTTGAATAAGTGACTATCAGACCAGCCTTGCATTTTCATTTGTCTGTGGACAGAAACTGTATAAAGCTAAACTGAATAATGTGGAGCAATATTTGTACTGAAATAAAGGGCTCTTTTTTTTTGTCAGATGGAACCGTCACTGAGCCAAATATGTCTGCAACTTTCTGTCCTGACCACAAAGCACCCATGGTGCTTTTTCTAGATCGTGTCTATGGTATAAAGGACCAAACCTTCCTCCTTCACCTTTTGGAAGTTGGATTTTTCCCAGATTTAAGGGCATGTGCTTCATTGGATACAGCTGAGTATTGTTTGCTATTATTCTCTAACTGTATTCAGGAGATTTGCTTCATGATAGTATTGGAATTTAGCTAAGTACTATAATTTTATTTTCTGCAATTAGAGTGTTGTAATATTTATTTTAAACTACTCAAGGCTTACCAAAAACATTAATGAAACAAAGCATTAGTAAACAATGATAAAGAAGATAGTTAACATTGAAACCAAACTCCACTCATTAAAGATCTTACTCAGGCTAAGGTAAATATATACGTGATCATAGGACAACTGATAGGCTGGATATCTATCCATCTGCCTCTCTTTTGTCATACCATTAGTTGTAATAAATGATTAGTGGTTTAAGAACGAAATAAAATAAAAATCTCATAACAACCATAAAATCTGTAACTACAAAAATTGTGCCCTAGCTAAAAAAATGTACTGAAATTATCAGGCTTCAAAACTCATTGTACTTGATGTACACTTAAACCTACCCTGGGGCCTTTCTAATGTTCTTTCCTTGCATAATAATGCTAGAAAAGTCCACTGCTGAGATAGTGTAGTATTTATACATATTAGTCTTTCCTGAAATGGTTGGTATCAGGGTTTATTTACTGATTTGATTTAATTCAATCAGACTACAGCTGGAAGGGACCTTGGAAGTATTCTAGTCCACCCCCTGTTCAAGCAGGAGACCCTACCATTTCAGACAAGTGACTGTCCAGTTTCTTCTTAAAAAAACTCCAGTGATGAAGTATACACAACTTTTGATGGCAAGTTGGTTAATTGTCCTCACTGTTTGGAAGTTTCTTCTTAATTCCAGGTTGCTTCTTTCCTTGATTAGTTTCCATCCATTGCTTCTTGTCCTGCCCTCTAGTGCGTTGGAAAATAAGTTGACCCCCCCTCCTCTTTGTGGCAGCATCTCAAATATTGGAATACTGGTATCGTGTATCCCCCTAGCCCTTCTTTTCTCTAGACTAGCCAAACCCAAATTCTGCAACTGTTCATATGTTTTAGTCTCCAGGCCTTTAATCGTCTTAGTTGCTCTTCTCTGCACTTTTTCCAAAGTTTCAATTTTAATTTTAATTTCTCACATAGTGCCTCACATGAAAACAACTAAAAACTTAGTTCGGACACTTGGCTTGGGCCTCCTGAGAGGGGTCTAAGGTATCTGAGGAGTTATCTTGCCCCAGTAGGACTAGCCCATCCCACTCGCTCCAGCAGAAGAGGCCTCCTGCGGACCCCATCAGTTAAGGAATTATGGCTGGCAGGATCAAGGAGAAGAGCCTTTTCTGCTGTGGCCCCCATCTTAGGGAACATTCAGCCACCAGAGGTGAGAACTGTTCCCACCCTTTTGGTCTTCTGAAAGGGCATTAAAATCTAGTATTGCCATTTGGCTTGGGACCCTGAAGGGGATTCTCTCTTCTGGAGGTGATTGACAGGGTAAAAGGACGATCTCACCTCTATGCTGTCTGATCGCTTGTCTTTAGTGTTTTATATAACTCTTCTTAATTTTAATTGTTTTTATATTTATCTTTTACTCCTTGTAAGCTGCCCAGTCATCTGACCAATGAGATGGGCTGCATATAAATTTAATCATTCAATCAATCAACAAAAGTAAACAACAGTATATCAACCCTCAACCCATATAATATGCACATTTAAATGGCTGCTGTAGGTAATGCCCAAAGCAAAAATTATAAAAAAAACAACCAACTTCTTATGGGCCCAAACTAACCTCCCAGGCCCTAATTCAGGAACATAATGGGTGTTTATAACCTGCAGGACGTAATCTATTATGTTACAGTTTTATTATGGTATTACATTTATACTGTTATATTTTTATCATGTCTATGTGCTGCTCAGAATCAGACATGATTGGAATGACGTATCACATACATGATGACAGATAGATAGATAGATAGATAGATAGATAGATAGATAGATAGATAGATAGATAGATAGATAGATAGATAGATAGATAGATAGATAGATAGATAGATAGATAGATAGATAGAGTTGATTCACTAGATACAATAAAGATTAAATGCAGGATGAAATAAAAGAATGAAGGAAGAAATTGAGTGGTTTTTTGGTTTTGAGCTACAGTAGACTGCTCTGTGGATAGAATATCTGCATGTTGTAATATATAAAAAAGTAAAAACCACAAGAGAAAATACTGATAGTAAAAAAAATAGTAAGTAATGAAAAAAAGAAAATAGAAAAAGAATCTAAAAAAAGAAATAAGAAAGATGTTAAAGAAGCAGCTTCCGATATTCTTGACAGTGTTATGGATACCTAAAACATTTCAGGCTGTAAGAACATCTTTTTCAGGAGGAAATGAAAGACTGATAAAAAAATACACATTTTAGCTTTGATGATGTAGGGCTGTCTCCTACATCAAGCCAACAACCCTTTAGCTCTGTAGTTTATTCTGGAAGTTCATTGACATCTGTGTTTTTTCCAAACTATAAAAATAAGAAAGGCAAGAACTTTTGTCAACATGCATTCATATACTGTATCTGGCCTGAAGGTCTTAAGTTATTGTGTGCCCCTCTGAGAAGAATTATGCTTGAAGTATTCAATAATAAAACAGAACATATCAGGCAGTAACTGTATTAATGTGTATCTTTTATGCAGATTTCTCTAAGTACCACCGAGACAGCTCTTGCTCTAAATAGATATATTTGCACAGCTGTGTTCCCATTACTCACACGGTGTGCTTCTCTCTTTTTGGGATCTGAGCATTACATGTCTCTGATTGATTCTGCTCTTCATACAATATATCGTCTGTCCAAAGGGCGTTCTCTTACCAAAGCACAAAGAGACACAATTGAAGAATGCTTGCTTGCTATCTGCCAGTAAGTATTTACATACAAACTTCTTCTATTTCTTGTGGAAATAATGTCTCTAATATAATTTACAGTAGTGGCCAAAATTGTGGAAAGCTTTTGGGAAAAGTGTACAGTAGAAATGCCACCTTTGGGTAAGTTTCCACCAATTTTTCTTCTAATTTCTTTATAACTGTAGCCTTGTTCACTTAATAATACTATTTTACATCGCTTTCTGGGCAACCAGTCAACTCTTTGCACCATTACTTTAATTTTATTACGTTTTACAAGCTCATTAAATGAAAGAAAAAAACCCCGACCAACTTGATAGCGATCACATAACACACTGACAAATGTCTTCCTGTCAGCTTCAATACATGACATTAATAACGGAATCCTGCTGTGATCTGATTGGCTCATTGCCAAAACAAGATGACACCTGATTGGCTCTCTAAACACTCATGCTCATTGGCTACAATCAGATGAAAGAAAGCTACCTAATATCAACCTAAGCAAGTTGTGCTTCCTTTTTTTGGTTAGTTGGCTATAACTTTTCATAGAATACAATACAGATAATTGAACAAACTATGTTGCATTACATTCTTGATTAAATTATCTTTCCATTGATATATAATGTTATGGTACTACTCCCCCCCAAAAGGTAGTGTTATTAGCCATCACACCTCAAAAATACATTTTTCCCAAAAGGTTTCCACAGTTTTGGCCACTACTGTATGTGACATTCATTGGGCGAGGGAAGGATTAACCTACAAAGAAACTTAGAACAAAATATGTATCAGCAAAGAGAGTACAAGAGGAGGCTATGCATCTATAAGGGGAAAAGGCAGGTTTAATTCACTTTGTCTATCTGCACTACAGAGTATGAACCAAGTTAGCTTTAAATAACACATGTTCATCCTTAAATAAAGTAGCATATTCCATTACCTTAAAGAAATCTATTAAGTGCAGAAGGTGCACTTTGGGAGAGAAAAAAAACAATAGTTTTTCTCCAATTTACACATCTATTCTTTCTATGTGTTTGATTTAAAAGCAATATCAGTTAACTGAGCATCAATTAATTGCGCATTTTTTAATAAAACAATGATTTTGAAAAATAGATGGGATTTCTAATCTAGATTCCTGATATTTCACACTTTGCTATAATATCATTATCCAACAATATTGCAGCCTATAAATATTAAATTATCCTAGTCATCCTAGAATATAAAAGATTGGTATCATTTTTCATAATTAGGAGCCATATTTTTCTTTCAAGAAAATTCTCAGCTTTAGGGGCCACAGGAGGTGTGGGTAAGGATATGGTGAAATCACTGGTATAAAATCAGTCATTGCTTTTTGCTAGCTTAATAATAAAGATCTAAAAAGAGACATTTTCATTATATATGGCCTAATAAAGTTCTCTATGAATTCTGCCTTTTTGATGAAGTTATTTTTTTTAAACAGCCTTTTTTTAACCAAGCACTTGTATTAAATGTCTTGCATTTCAGCTGACCCTGTAAATGCCTTGCATATTCATTAAAAAGATTGAAATTACTGTGAACTTTTTTTAATTACAGCCACTTACGGCCTTCAATGCTACAACAACTTCTACGCCGATTAGTTTTTGATGTACCTTTACTTAATGAGTACTGTAAAATGCCATTAAAGGTCAGTATTTTTATTTCTGCTGTGGCATCAAATATTTGTGTGTTCTGAGTGCCTTTTTCCTGTTCTTCCCCATTCCCCATCTCCTGAAGTAAAGTTGGCTCTGCCAATCCACTGCAGTTCAATTCATTTGCTGTCAAGGAATGGCTATTAATCTCTTTTCTCCACAAATTCAATCTTATATTCAGAAAGTGGAGGACAACAGAGTCATCACACATTCAATACTACTAGAAAAGTTCTTTTTATTTAGACAAAGAAATCAAACATGCAGAAGCTCTATTTCAGAACATAACAATCCATTTTTTTTCTTTCTCTCTTTCCCTTACACAAACATTCCAAGGTTTTAATTCTAAGCATTTTCGTCCCACCTTCTTGAATCAGTGGGCTTTTGGTCATTCTTTTCTCAGCCTTGAGCACCAGGAATCTAGTTAGCAATAGCAATAGCACTTAGACTTATATACTGCTTTACAGCCTTCTCTAAGTGATTTACAGTCAGCATATTGTCCTCAATAATCTGGGCCATTGACCTCAGAAGGATGGAAGGCTGAGTCAACCTTGAGCCGCTGAGACTTGAACTGCCGAATTGCTGGCAGCTGGCAGTCAGCAGAAGTAGCCTGCAATACTGCATTCTAACCACTGCGCCACCACGGCTCTTATATGATCATTTGGTCGGGGCTAAGAATCATTACTTACTGCCTCACCAGCTCTTATATTAGTTAGGAAAGTAACTATAAGCTGTAAACAATGCAGCTCTCAGTAAAACCAAAGTAAGGAGTTAGAAATCATCTGTCACAAGATTTTCTCCTTCATTAACTCTGTAAGGGATCACACACTCTGAAGAAGCAAGTCTGTAACTAGGAGGTGTCTTGGGCTCACAGCTATTGCTTGTCCAGCAGGTGAAGACTGTGGCCAAAACCTTTGCCCGGCTTTGGCTGGTGCTTCACTTGCATCCATTTTTGAAGCAGGATGCCATGACAATAGTGACAGAAATCTTGATCACCTCAAACTACTGAACTGTACTTTATAGGGGTTAAATTTGAAAGCTACTTGGAAGCTGCAGTTGGTGCAAAAGGCGTTGGGTCACTGTCTAACAACTGAGAGTTAGTTCAGGCATGTGACACTAGTTTTGTGAGTCCTGCATTGCAGAGTTCCAGATAGTGTTCAAAGTGTTGGTTTTAAATCTCTACAACTTGGCTTCCAGTTACTTTCAAACTATCTCCTTCAGTTCGAATCTCCCCTTCTGTGTATTTAACCCAGGGTAAAATGCCTTAATCACACCCCAAAATTATTTGAGTTGGAACCCAGAAAAGATCAGTGGCTTTCCTACTGTTACGAAATAACCTGGCCCTGGAGGTCTGGACTATTTCACATAACTGTCAATCAGAAGGCTGTTAACAGTTCAGCAGTGCTTTGTAGGCTAATTGCTTGCTTGATTTTTTTTGTAATTGGAATTATGGGAATGGGTGTGCATATATGGTTATGAAAGGTTTATTTTATTGTAAATCACTTAGAATTTTTTTAGGTAGCTGGTTTTGTTGAATATTATATCTGTGAACCATATAAGCCAATCTGGATCACATGGCTGTATATGACCAATGTTGACTGATTTCCATAGAGCAGGGGTGTCAAACTCTCAACATCACGTGATGTGTTGTGACTTTTTTTCCATTGCCAGCAATGGGGTGGGCATGGTTTCACCATGATACATCTGGCCCATGGGTCGGCAGTTTAACACCCCTGCCATAGAGGGAACCAAATATTAAAGAGTCATTCTGTCAGATATAGGCACAGTTCAACTGACTTCCACACCATGACTATGTATTTTATTCGTTTTTTTCCCTTTCAAAATCCATATATTTTGCTATCTCCAACAAGGCTTTGCCTGATTGGACAGTTCTTCCATTCACTGAAGGTTTTGACATAAAGCATGTTCAGAGCCCTCTGAATGAAAAAGATTGGGAGATTCTTCTGAACCATAGAGCATAGACCATGAGATAGATTGCTGTAGTAGGGATGATGTTGATTAAAAATTGGTGTCTTGTATGAGATGAGCATATGCATTATCTGCAAGAGCATTTTACTGAGACAAATTTTGAATGTACAAACTTCAATTGAAAAAAGCTTAATTTATTTTTTCACAACTAAAATTCCATTGCTTTCCTTCTCTCTGTGGATCAAATGTTACATGCATATAAAGAAAAAGGAGATATCTGATTTGACAACAAAATCTCTTTTCCTGACTGATAGCAACAGTTGGGTTATATTATTTTCCAGAAAGTGTTGATATCTATAGTGTAATATAAATCCAAGTATTACCCTCCTTTATGTTTTAGAAAATACATTGAAAGGCAATATTCCCAATGTTTTTCAATGTATATTCAGTAATAAGTACATTATTTGTATAAATGAATACTAGATTTGTTACATAAAGAATAAAAGATCATAATCTGCATTATATCATATGAATACATACCGATATTCAGTTTAATGTGTTTTATATGTATTTTTCTGACATATACAGCTTCTAACAAATCACTATGAACAATGCTGGAAATATTATTGCTTGTCTTCAGGATGGGGGAATTATGGAACAGCAGCAGAAGAAGAATTACATTTGACTGAAAAACTATTCTGGGGAATATTTGATTCCCTCTCTCATAAGGTAAACATAAAACTTCAAATTAAAAGGCATTGCTTGAATACACATACACTAATATAAGCTGAAAACAAATATACCTAGCAAAAAAATGTCCTGTTTATATCACATACACAATCTATGAGAACATAGTGATTTAATAAGAAGTTAGATAATAGTACTTTTTCCTTTACTATGTCAGATACATGCTGGGCATTGTTAGATCAGATGCTTCTCCTACGCAAGCATACAATTTTCTACTGTCTTTATTTTGGCCTTTCATTAGAGGTTGAAAACAATATTGTGTAAATACACATGTGTTGAGCGTAGTACCTTAGACTGATAGGAAAAGCTAACACACCCATGTTTCACTCACCTGCAGAGGATTGTACCAGAAGAGGTTTTGTCTGATTCAACCTATTGTAACAGACAGAGAGACATGCACACACATTCTTATTTTTCTTTCTTTTCTAAAAAGTGCTTCTCCATTTACTGTCAGCATCTACTAATGCTGCTTCTATGGGGCTTTTTTTGCCTTAACTAACACTTTGCATGTTTTTTTATTGGACTTTCCAACCAGTTCCTATCTCTCCTGCAGAAGTATGATCCAGAGCTCTTCCGAATGGCCTTGCCTTGTTTAAGTGCAATAGCTGGTGCTTTGCCACCAGATTATTTAGACACTCGAATTACCTCATTTTTAGAAAAGCAGATGTCAGTGGATGCTGAAGGAAATTTTGATCCCAAACCTATCAGCACGCTGAAGTGAGTAATAACATCTTTATTTTTAAAAGGGATTCTTATTTTGTTATTTAGCACTGCTAAGAAATACACTGACTTATTAAAAGAATGTAACAGCCACTGAGTTGTGTACATTCTGTTTTTCCTCTGAAGTATGTGTACTAACTGATTAATTAATGGGTGATGATTGTGGTATAAATATAAATCTAGTGTAAGACAAGACTATTATTTGGAGTCCAACTCCTATCAGTCCCTGCTAGAATGCCCAAAGGCAAAGGTTTGTAGATTGTAATTCAAAAAATTTGGAGGACTCTAGATCAACACCACTTGGTCAATCTTTAATCTGGAATAGAATAGTAATTGCAAAATGCAGCTTAAAAACATTTGTCTTCCAGCCTCTTAATGTAAGTCACACTATATAACTAGGAATTAATATTAATACTTAGTCACACATTTATTAATCAAATTTATACTAGTACAAAGTTTTTTAATGCTTCAAGATGCCTGGAGTCACTTTATTTGTTAAATTTATTATTATTTGTTAAATTTATTTGGCCCCTGTCTCACCATGGGGCTACTCTAGACAGCCTATAATAATAAAAAGGAAGAAAATGAAAGGAGTGTAAACAGAAATAAAACAATAGAACAATAAAATAAGCAATGAAAAAGAACACAATAAAAATACATTGATTTGATAAACAAAAATACGGCTGGGTGGATAGCAGAGTGCAAGGGAGGGTGGAGGGGGAGTGTGCCATCAATCCACCAGTCACTCCAGCGTGAAACTGCCCCATTTGGTCCCCAGGCCAAACAGCAGGGCCAGGTCTTTAGGCTCTTGCGGAAGGAAAGGAGGGTGGGGGCAGATATTACTTTAGACCAGGGGTGTCAAACTCGCAACGTCACGTGACATGTTGCAATGTCACGACTTTTTTTCCATTGCTGGTAATGGGGTGGGTGCAATTTCAGCATGACGCATCCAGCCCGTGGCCCGGCAGTTTGACACCTCTGCCTTAGACTGCAAGGGTGGGGAACTATGGCCCTTTTATGACTTGTGGACTTCAACTCCCAGAATTTCTGAGCCACCTATGCTGGCTTAAGAATTCTGGGAGTTGAAGTCCATAAGTCATAAAGGGGCCATTGTTCCCCACCTTTGCCTTAGAGGGTAAGATGTTCCAAAAGGTGGGCATTGCACTTTGTCCATTTTGTTAGACAGCCATATAAATCTATTTGATAGATAGATAGATAGATAGATAGATAGATAGATAGATAGATAGATAGATAGATAGATAGATAGACAGATAGACAGACAGACAGACAGACAGACAGACAGACAGACAGACAGACAGACAGACAGACAGACAGACAGACAGACAGACAGACAGACAGACAGACGATAAATTGTAAACAGAATTGTAATGACAAAACATAGTTTCAAATATTTAGTGAAGGCAACATGATTTAAACTTCCCTTCTTATATATTCATTTGTATAGTTTGTTATGTTTGTTTTGGAAAAGAATGGTATGAACTGTTACCTAACTGAAATAAGTTAAATATAATATATTCTTCTTTTTGATTATTAGTTTTATACTCCCTGAAAAGTTGGAGTTTATTGTCAACAAATATGCTGAACATACTCATGAAAAATGGGCCTGTGACAAGGTATGAATTATTATAGTTCTAACAATTGCCAGAAAAGAACAGCCACCACTCAAAATGAATTTTAGAAATGTATTCAATTTGTCTCCATGGCTCTGAGACTATAGCACAGCATATGTTTCTAGCAATGTCTTTCCACAGTCTTTTTTTCCCTTCCTCATACCCGTGGGTTTCCTGACAGCTTTGAACCTTATTATAAATTGTCATTACCTTAGAACAGGGGTCTTCAAACTTGGCTCTTTTATGACTTGTGGACTTCAACTCCAGAATTCCTCAGCCAGCGTGCCAAGTTTGAAGACCCCTGCATTAGAACATATGCATTTCAATTATAGCAATTGGAAGCAATTTTGACTTACATGCAATTTTTAAATAATTAGATGACTTAAGAGCAGAGATGGGAAATGGAAGTCAAATTTGCACCACATTTAGAAGAAGGACTAAGGACTATAGCAGTGATGGCAAACCTTTTAGAGACCGAGTGCCGAAACTGCAACCCAAAACCCACTTATTTATCGCCGGGTGCTGGGTGGGCATGGCCCATTGGGTGAGTGTGGCAGGGTGGGCGTGGCTGCAGTGGTCATGGCAGACTGGGTGGGCGTGGCCACCTCAATGTTCCTCGTGGGGAGGGATGCTTGATGGGCAGGGTTGGGGGAGATCCAGGGGGTTTCTGGCAGATGGGGCAGTGGGCAGGAGGCTCATCCTGTGGGGTGAGGCAAGGCAGGGACACGGTGGGGTGCTATTGCCTCGGGACAAGGGAAGGTGAGGCAGGGGCCGGGACGGCCGCTGCCTAACACCATTGGTCCCCGCACACAGAGGCCAGTGACAGCATGGGGGGTGATGGTGTTTGTCAGCAGCCACAGCCTGCTGGCCCCTTGACCAGTGCACTCTGGGGCTCTGTAGCCTGCTGCAAATACCAGGCCAGCCCTCCAGCAGCAGGCAAAATAGGGGAGGGGGGAGGCGCGTGATGCAGACCGCCGGACGCGCCTACTCCATCCCATCTGTTTTTGCTTGCAGTTGGAGAGCAGGTCGCTGCTGGTCATCTCCTTGGCCCCCTCACAGATCTTGCCCTTGGCCTGCATGTAGAGCCTGTTTCCCTCGCACACCCAATGCCTCGGGCCGCCACCAGCAGCAGCTTGTGCAGGTCCATTAGGTTGCCACCGCCTCCTCCTACCCAGCCCCACATGTTGCCCAGGCGCCACTGCCCCACGAGGCTGGGCAGCTGATGTGCGAACTCCACTGCCTCGTTGGGGCCTGCTAAGGCCAGCGAGCAGCTGAGGCAGCCCCAGACACCCAGCCGCCCCTTGTCCTCCTCCTCTGCTATGTGGCTGGCTGGCCTGATGATGAGGGCACGCCCAACAAACGGAAAGACAAGACTTGGGCACAGCTGGGTTTTAATGGTTATGGGATCTGGCGCTCGGGAGGCCTGGGAACCCTCCACTCGGGAGGCCCTGCGGCCACTGGGGAAGACATGGTGAGTTGAGGAGGAGATCCCCAGTCCCCGGCCTGGCCATGCAAGGCAGCTAGAGGCTTTGAACCACCGCCCTGGAGGACGTCTCGGGTACCCGGCCCACATGTTGGGGAGGGAAATTGGTGGGGCAGAAAGAGGCCAACCCTCAGGCGTGGCAATTGTGACGACACTGGCTCTGGCCTCGGCCGGGCGGCGTGCCGGCTGCACTTGGGATGCCCGGAGCAAAGGATGACTGCAGCGGCAACCCACTTTCCCCCTTTGCGGCTGTGGAAATTTCCCTCTGATCGGTCCAACATACCCGAAGGGGAGAAGGGTGGGAGCTTCCAGGCGGAGGCTGAGAAAGGAGAGGACCCTGGAGCGGGCAGCGTGGGGCCACATGGCGGGATGATCCACTGATTCCCCACCCGGCAGGTGCGATCACGGATCAGCTGGGGCAGGGAAGCCATTGTTGCAGCGCCGGGGGTCGCGGATCACTGCCAAGGAGGTTGGAGGAGGAGGAGGGCTGGCCAGGGACAGGCTGGTGGCGGGCACAGCATTGCCCATGGGGGGAATCTGACCACCCCCAGCCTGGAAGGGGGAGAGACCGAGGGAGCCCAAAGGAAGGCAGGCGTGGTGCTCAGGGGTAGCCATTCTCCCCTCCTCCACCCTGGTGGGCCTGGCCTGCCTGCCTGCCTGCCTGCCTGCCTGCCTGCCTGCCTGCCTTCTCCCCTCCTTCCTTCCTCTCTCTCTCTCTCTCTCTCTCCCTTTCTCCAAAGTCCAAACTCACATGTCCTCCTTCCCCCACTAGCCTTCTGCAAAGTGCTTAAATGGACACCGCATCCTACTTGTCTTCTCTAAACTCACGCCCACCATTGCTTCCAAAGGCTGTCTGCTCGCTCACTCGCTCTCTAGCTGCACTCCCACCAAAACCTGCTTTTATACTGGTTCCCCCCTCCCCGCCCAGCTCTTGCAGCTGTTCCCGTGAGAGCGCTGCTGAATTCGGTTTCCCTGCCCTCTCCAGTTCCCACTAGTCAGGTACATGTGGAGAGGGGGATGGGAGCGTCCCTTTGGCGCGTGTGCTGACAGAAAGGGCTCTGCGTGCCCAGTCTGGCACACGTGCCATAGGTTCGCCACCATGGGACTATAGGAAGGATGAGCCATTGTACATGTATGAGTGGGGCTGGGCATTTTGGCTTTTAAAAATGTGCTGGTCTATTCAAAAATTTACATTATTCATCTATTTAACACCTCAACATGACAGAGAACTGGGTTTTAATTTTCAGCATTCCAATGGCCACAGAAAGGACCTTCAGGGACAATAGATTGGCTTTGACTTCTTTTTGACTTACAAACTTTGTTGTTTGATGCATTGTTCTTTAAAATGAAAGTCAAAAATAGATTAACAGAATTCCACAAGTCCACAAGTCTTAAAGTTGCCAAGTTTGAAGACCCCTGGATTAACAAATTGACTATTTTAAACATGGCCAGATAGATACAGAACCTTCTAAATTCTGAAACTTTTTTGTTGCTATTACTCAAACCTGTGTTATTGGTTAACAGAGCATTGACATAACTCAAGATCCTTTTGTCATTAATCCAACCACATTAATGTGCATCTGCCCAAGGAGGAGGGGGAAACAATTGTATTGTGGTTGCTATAGAATCAGTTTGGTATAGTGCAGACGTGTCAAACTTGCGACGTCACATGACGTCGCGCAATGTGTCGGGACAGTTTTGCCATTGCCGGCAATGGGGTGGGCACGGTTTCTGCATGACGCATCCGGCCCGTGGGCCGGCAGTTTGACACTCCTGGTCCAGTGTTTAAGGCATCAGGCTAGAAACCAGGAGACGTGAGTTCTAGTCCCACTTTAGGCATGACAGCAAGTTAGGTGACCTTGTGCCAGTCATTCTTTCTCTCAGCCTAACCCACCTCACTAGGTTGTTGTTGTGGAGAAAGTAGGAGGAAGAAGAAATATTAGGTATGTTTGCCACCCTGCTCCAATACTGGAAGTTTTTAAGAAGAGACTGGACAGCCATTTGTCTGAAATGGTATAGGGTTTCCTGCCTGAGCAGGGGGTTGGCCTAGATGATCTCCAAGGTCCCTTCCAATTTTTTTTATTATTATTATTATTATCATTATTATTATTATTATTATTATTATTATTATTAGTAGTAGTAGTAGTAGTAGTAGTAGTAGTAGTAGTAGTAAAGGTGGGAAATTAAATAAATAAATGAACAAATAAATAAATGTCCTGACTATATAAAGTTTTTGACCCACATTGACTGCTCTAATTGTCTATAGTTTGTAAAAATCTCTGTGTGCATTCTAATGAATGTGGGCTGAGGAAGAAGTCAGCTGTCCATTACTATTCTCACCACATAAATATAGATATTCTTCAAATAAAAATCTAGTTTGTGGTTTTATTTTTCTCAATTCTGTATTGTTGCCTTAATTGCCCTTTCAGTAAAGTTATACAGTACTTTGAAATATTCTTTTCATCAAAGAGTGATCTCTGAATTTTCATGTACATAAAGGATTTATATTTTTCAAGTACAGCAGAGTTGAATTGTCCTTAAATGGCTGATTAATTCTTGTGCTTTCTGACTGTCCCACCTGTGTTGCTACTGTCATAAGTGCATTCATGTACTGTTTCTCTTCTCTTGCCTCCAGTACAGAAATGTCAAATTCCGTGTTGCATACCTGTTTTTCAGCCTATCTCTTTAACTGTCATTCTTGCAAGTCCCTTTTCCATCCTATTTGCTTGCTTTGATTAGTCATTTTTCATTATTGTGAGCCATGTAGAAAACACAGAACAGACTCCAGAAAGCACAATTAAGCCAGTAAAAATAATGTTTGCTTATAACCAGACAGGTTCTTCTAATTCAGGAATTAGAAGGAATTCATAGGAATCTCCCCACTTATTAATGTATAAATCAAAGGATAATGTTGGGATGGAATTTTCTAGCAATCCAACTGCTTTCCAGTTTTATGTATAATGAGATTATCTACCTGCCCATCTGATCTGTATAATACCGATGAGAGCTTCTTTTTCTATGAAGCCATTATCGTCAGAGGTTTATGGGTTTTTTTCCAGTCATGCACAGGCCAGCAAACACTTGTCTTTTCCTACTTATTAAAAAGGCATTGTATGTTAATGACCATTATGACTATTCCAGACAATTAATTCCTGGAATTAATTATGCAGTGTGAATATTTATTTCCAGAGTAATTGTGGATGGAAATATGCTCCTTTACTTGATGAAAATACAAAGACACATCCTTTAATAAGACCTTTCAAAACCTTGACTGAAAAGGTAATGAAGATAAATTTAAATGTGTTTCCCAGGCAAATGTTGGATACAGTTTGCATTAATGTCCATCAATGTTCCATTTATTTTTCAATGGAAATAAAAATCTGAAAATGTAAAATGACTAATTGACTAAACTATAACTATAAACTAAACTATATTTTTGTATTCTTTTTTTAAATTTATATATTAGTAGACATGACTATTGCCAATGATATTAATTCGGTTCATACTTTAACGTGAAGTGACATAATTCATATTCCTGGAATTAGAATACAATTATCTTCCAGTTTTCATTTTCCTTGATATTGCAGTGCTATTTTTCAAATCCATAACACATTCAAAAATGCTTATATTATAGTACATAACCTTTTTTAAAAGTATCTTGTGAACATTCATATGCCAAAGGGAAATGCATAAAAAAACATGTTTGTATTTCTGTGCTTATAAAAATATGCATAAAAGCTTTTGTGCAGAATTTTAAAGAAAAAGAATCTGAACTTGAGAGAATGTTATACATACCGTATTTATCGGCGTATAACACGCACAGGCGTATAACACGCACCTTCATTTTAAGAGGGAAATTTCAGGAAAAAAACTTAAATTTCAAATAAAGAACTTTGAAGCAAAATAAGGGTAGCTCAGAACTTTTTTTTATTAATATTATTACCACTTCTTAACATTATATCGGCGTATAATACGCACACATCATTTGCCCCCTATTTTCAGGGGGAAAAAGTGCGAGTTATACGCCGATAAATACGGTATTCATTTCCCAAGATTGTCAGTAGCCGGTATGGAAACTGATATCTTCAAATCAGCTTTGAGATCATGTGGAATTGAGCAAATGTTCCACTGGGTCTTCAGTAAACTGTGGCTCATGGAACACAAAATGTATGTGTATGTGTGTGTGAGAGAGAGAGAAAGAGAGAGAGAGACAGAGACAGACAGACAGACAGACAGACAGAGAGACTAAAAGACAGGCAGACAGACAGAATCCGTTGACTGCAAACTTGCATGTTTATTCATGGGGAAAATATTTTAGATTTGTTTTCTACATGAAATATAACACTCTTTTTAAAGGAAAAGGAAATCTATAGATGGCCTGCCAGAGAATCTCTAAAAACCATGTTAGCAATGGGATGGAGTCTTGAAAGAAACAAGGAAGGAGAAAATATGACTCAGCAACGTGAAAATGAAAAGCTCCGTAGCATATCACAATCTAGTCAGGTAAGGTAAAAGTGAAATGTAAACTTTTATGTTTCTTCAGAACTAATGCTACTTTTATTCTTTACTTTTTATTTTTTTACTTTTTTTGGGGGGAAGGAGTTTTATTATCCAGTCTTTTAAACTGCCCAAAATGTGTTAAATTCATAGTACTTCATACTTAGAAAAAAAATATATAATTTCAATTGATCTAAAGTAGATAATTCAGTGAACGTTTATCACATTTTGCAGCATTTTAGAACAGCAAGAATCCGTTTGTTATAGTTTTATAAATTCATATGAATCAGTATTTGCTTGTTCAACTCAATAACAATGATTAAAAGAATATCAATGACTTAGAATTATATTATTTTTCTCTCTGTATGCTGTATGCTGATGTTTTCTAATGTCATGTTACATTTCTTCAGAGAAGTGTATAAATAGAAGTTGTTTTACCTTCAGCTTTTTCCTTCATGGATTTGTCTTTGTACAGTCAGGGTAGTATACAACAAGCAACTCTAGGAAGGAATCTCTGGTAAATGGAGATGGAGAATCTGTGGCCTACTAGATGTCTACCAGATGTTCCTAAACAATCACTTTCACCATCTCTTTCTATTGAAAGAGAAATGCATTGGCTCAGCCACGTTTATGCCTTTGATATATTTAGTGACTAGTTGGAACTCTGCAAAGTTGCAGAAGAAAATAACACCTACTACTGCAACTGTATGCTAAACTTCTGTAAGACTCTAGTGATAAGTTCTCTGGGCATGTTAGGAGAGCACCAAAAAAATTAAGGTGAAATCCCTGCAATTAACATTTCAACTGTTCTTTATCTCATTAGACCCGTGGTGGCGCAGCAGTTAGAATGCAGTATTGCAGGGTAATTCTGTCGACTGCCAGGAGTTCAGTCTTGACTGGCTCAAGGTTAACTCAGCCTTCCATCCTTCTGAGGTTGTAAAATGAGGACAATATGCTGGGGGGGGGCAATATGCTGATTCTGTAAACCTCTTAGAGAGAACTGTAAAGCACTGTGAAGCAGTATATAAGTCTAAGGGCTATTGCTATAGTTCATTTCTAAAGTAACTTCTTAAATCTAATCTAATCAACATTCCTTTACCTATAGTTATGAAGTTAGACATTGAATTAGCAGAAATCAAATGATAAAGCCCACCACTAGTAAATCTTGCTTTATTATATAAATATTTAGCATGGGAGGATTCAGAATAGCAAAATATAGGAACAAACCTTTTCTCTTAGTGCCCCAGAAATCAACCTATTGACTTCTGGAGGGTTATTGGTTCTTATTGCTATTATATTGAATTTTTATCTTTATAAATCACCTGGAGTCACTTAAAATCCATTTGTTCAATCAATATCCTGTTTTTCCCGCTTTTATTAAAATTTTAATTTCCCACTAATGTTCAAAGTATCTCTATCGCTTATAATTTTCTCATAATAAATTATATTTGCGTAACCCAAAGCTTCCCTTATTCAAATCCTTTTAGAATTTTCATATTTCTCATCTCATAACAAAATATAATATTCTAGTTACAAATCCTATCCTTCTAATTGTAATAATACTTTTATTTCTAACAGTTAACTATTTTCTTAACCATATTCAAACATCTGTTTAATTGTATAATATCCCATCTAATAGGTCAAAACTTCTATTTTCTTCAGTCTTACTCTAGCTTTCTTCCTTTGCAAAATAACTTTCCAAGTCCGTACATTTGAATCATCAAGTAACTCTTCCTGTGTTTTTGTATATATTGTTTGGAATAAGAAAGAGAATTTGATTGAAGTATTTTTGGGAGAATGCTCAACCCATTTATATTCATTAAACAGACTCCATTTTTCTCATTCAGATTTTCTTTTCATTTCTTGTTTGTCAATATTCAGCATTTCTCCTAACAGCTTTATCATCCATTTGATCAGCTCTTCAATGAACGTCCCCTTCTTCTTTGTCGCCTCTCCAGGGTGACTTTTGACCCTTTTTTGGGTCCCCAGTGGGGCAAAATCAAAGCCAGAAGACGGAGCATGTCTTCCTGCGCCCGTCCCACTATGACACTTAACCAGACTCTCAGAACTTTAGTTTCTTATATTCTGTTTGTTGCAATATCTATATTCATACATTGACATGAAATTGCAAATGTCTACATATGCACATGCAGAATTTTCACAGCTAAATAGCACAAATGTAGTAGAGCAAACTATACTGTGTTTCAGCAAAAAGGAAATAGTTTGTTTAAATGGAGATAATTAATTCAGGAACATTTGTTCACAGTAAATATTGCATGATTTATTTATGAAAAATACTGAAATAAAGAGAAAACAGCTAATTTAATATACAAGTCCTTAACATATGGACTGGTGTATCATTGCTTCTAAAACTCCTACCACATGCAGAGAAAGACTGAAAATATTAACCTTGGGAGTAATTTTATAATAATTGCTATTAGGTGTACAGAACCATTTTAATAAATTTAATTGTTTAATACTTCTTTTAGCATTGTATCCTGCTGGAATTCAGTGACGATCAGTATTTATTGCTCTTCTAATATGATTGCCAAAACAAGGACATTATATTTTTGCCAAACATTTAATATAGATTATCCAGTGAAGGTATTATCCATTGCTATTTTTCTTTAATTTTTCATTGCAATTGATCTTTTTTTTGCATATTATATGTCGTAAATATTTCTTTTTTAAAAAATGGTATTCAGTTTCCATATCATTGGCCATTCAGAGAAAATTGTCTCATTTTATGCATATTCAACATACTTTCCATAAATCTACAATTTGGATTCTGTTCTCTTGATTATCATTTGAGTCATTGGCTGTGCTTCTACACAATATTAAAAAAAAAGATTTCCAGGGGAAACAACTGAAGACATCTCTGCAAAAGCAGAGCCAACAACTGTAGTGAAAACTGAAGAACCAGTGAGTAGTCTGGTTTTTGAAACCTCTCTGCATAAGAAGAGGATACGAAATTACCCACATGTCTTCTGAACAGCTGCTACATGCAAGGAGAGTGCAGGACAATTGTCTTCTGAAGGTTTGCACACCAGGAGATGACGGTATTAGCCATCTTGCTAGCAACTGTGGTAGAATGCTTTAAAGGGTACTAGGTTGACAAACCTCACTTTGTAATCACTTTATAATTACTTTTGGAAATTTACCTGTATTAGAGACTTCAGAATGCAAGTTTGAAAAGTTGCTAGACAAGTGTAACTTCAACAGCTTTAAGTTTAAGAACTTAAATAACTTGAAATAAACAGCAAAAAGTTAAATAAGATTTTGATCTAGGAAAGTTACCCACAAGTTAAGAGTGTTGTTAAATTTAGAATATTGACTTTTACTATAATATTTTGAAATTAACTATAAAGAGTAACTTCTCATGGGAATGAGAATTATTTTGTTTATTCTGGTTCATAACAATGTTGTGATTTTAGAAACTGGATATTACAGGCGAATAAGGATTCTAAGTAGAAGTAAAAAATGCAAATCTGCTTTTGGTATTCTTAACTGGGACATATAAAATGACAGAAAACAAGATAGTTTTGGAAATATTAAAGGTGATTTTTAGAATGGAGCCAGAAATCAGAAAGCTACAGTATCAACAGTGTCAGTATTTATATCTGATTCTATGGATAGATTGTGTCCAGAAGGTATTAATGAGGGAATGATAGATGTGGAACAAATTTTGTCTGATAAGACAGAGAAACCAAAACCGAAATACGAATGATAGGCCAAGAGAATCATTTAGAACAGAGCTTTTCAACCTTTTCACCCATTGTACCACTTTTAGGATATGGCAACATCCGAGTACCACCAGTTGCCTAGCAAGGTGTCAAAAACTTGATGACCAAAATATATATATAAATAAGTGATAAAGTACAGGTAGTCCTCGACTTACAACAGTTCGCTTAGTGACTGTTCAAAGTTAAAATGGCACTGAAAAAAGTGCCCCCCAAGCCACAGCCGAACAAGACACCTGCCTGCCCACCCGGTGGCACTCTTCCTCCTGTCCGAGGTTTTCATTGTTGTGAGCATTTCTGTTGAGGATTGGCAGCGGGGGTGGGGGGGTGTTTGGTTTTTATTCCCCCCTGTCTACTGGTTGGTTGCAGCAGGTTTTGGTCACTTCACAAGACCCTGGGACACTGTGTCCGTCATAAATATGAATCAGTTGCCAGGCATCTGAATGTAAATCACAAGACCCTGGAAATGCTGCAACATTCCAGCTGATCGGCGCTTCTTCTGGGCTCAGCAGAAGTGCCAGGATCAGCACCAAGCTCCAGCTGGAGCCTGGCGCTGATCCTGGCGCTTCCACTGAGCCCTGACAGCCCCGAAGAAGCACTGATCCTGGCGCTTCTGCTGAGCCCTGACAACCCTGCAGCTCCAGCCATCTCTTGCTCAGGCTTGTGCGGTGCTGCCATCGATTCAGCTCATTCCCCTCCCCCACTACCACTTTTCTAGGATGGTTGTGTACCACCTGCCAGGTGCCAATGTACCACAGGTGGTACCCGTACCACTGGTTGAAAAGCCCTGATTTAGAAAATGATACCTTATTGGATATAGAAAAGAAACTGGATGAAGTTTTTAAAAATAAAGAAAAATACAAATGACAAATCAAGACAATACTATGGAAAATATTTTCTTATTGGATCTTCAAAGGAGACTTGTTAAAACCTTGAAGAAGTCCGTGTGATGGTATAAACAAGAATTGAAGAGAAATCAAATCTTATAACAATATTGAAATGAAATAAAGATTAAGACTGTGAGAGGTAAAATGAAGGGATATAAAGCTGATTTATTTGATCAAAGTTAAAATAAGACTCTTTTTTTTTTTTGCAATGTTCTGGCAACTCTTATGGACTTTTTGCTGACATCAGGATTGAAAAGTTGATATTTTCTGGATTTGATTATACATAAGTGATGGGATATGGGATGGAAAGATATCTGTTTAACCTTATAGGGAATTAAGAGTTACTACATTTGTTTATATTTGTTGTGATGATGGTTGGGAGTTACTTATTTATATTTTTTTTTCATTTTCTTTATTATATTTCTTCCTTTTCTTTATTTCTTTTTGTCTTTTCTTGTGACTTTATACTTTCCTATTATTCTTTTTTTATTTCTTTAAGCTTAGTTTGTATTAATTATTACTACTGCAATCAAAATCCTTAATAAAATTATATGTAGAAAAACTGGAAAGACATTACAGTATGTAATCTGCCAATGAAGTTCCACTCTTAAGTCCTGACAGCTGACCAGTTTATTTACTTTTTTAAAAGCTAGTGGCAACTGCTCAGACCTGCTCCTTATTTCAAAATGTATCTTTGTCATTCAAATCATTATCATGTTCTGCCAAAGAACCTAGAAGGATTGTGAACTGTATAGTTTTTAATACATGGCAATTGCTAAAGCGATGAAGTCCAAAACTCTTCACATTATCTGAAACATAATAAAAAGTAAGAACATTCTGCTTATAACTTTATTGTTTAAAATTAAATACAAAATCGTGCATTTCTAAATTTCCTCCAGTTGCTATAATTCAACATGAAAGTCATCTCAAGAATGAACAATAATGGCCAATTTGTCTTCTTTTGACAACAGGGTAATGGCTACAGCCCAGCACCTCTTGATCTTTCAAATGTTGTACTTTCCAGAGAACTCCAGGTTTGTCTTGAATTGTTAAATACTTTGTAGAAATTGAAATGTAGAGAAAAAATTGAAACACCTATAGTCTGGTTGAATCTATGAGATGAGTTTTGAAATTGAGAAAGCTCTTGACAAAGTAGAAATAGAAGAATTGTGACTCTTCCAGCTGCCTTGAGTGAAGAAGGGAAATTTCTGAAATGCTGAGAGAAAAAGTGGAGATTTTTAAAATGTGAGGAGTTCCTAATGAAGTAGAAGATAAGATAGAACTATGTGCTGTCCTAGTGTTCTATGTAGAGAAAAAAGAAAGACAGTGACTCAAAAGAATGAAATTCTCGTTTTGGTTGAAGATGTGATAGAAGGGTCCTTGATGCTCTCTGAGCTTACTTGTTTTCTTTTAGACATTTCATTACCCAAACTAGGTAACATCATCAGTGCTAGTAAGGAGTGCAGTTTGCTGTCAGTTTATATTCTAGTGGCTTGTCTGTCAATATTGATGGGGATGGTCTTAGAAAATCTTTGGTTGGGCTGTTTGCTGATGGCTTCTTTGGCAGTTTCTTGATTGGCTTAGGATGGTCACATTTTCCCAATTGAAACTATGGTTAGATCTGTCTATAAGTTGTGAAATTAAAGAATTTTCATCATGTCTTCTGACTGCTAGTTGGTGCTCGTGGATACTTTCTTCCAGTCTTCCGCCTGTTTGTCCTACATAGTGGTTGTTGCAGTCCTTACATTGTATGTTGTAGATGGCTCCTGTTTTTTTCTTCAGGGGTTGTTGGGTCTTTTGGTCTGCTTAGGTTGTTTTGAAGGGCTTTAGTTGGCTTGTGTGCTTTGCTGATTCCATGTGGTTGTACTAGTCTATTGGTGGTTTCTGAGATACTCTTGATGTTTGGCAGTGTAATTCTTTTTAGGGTTTGTGTTAGTTGTGCTGTATTGGGTTGAGTGGTCAGGGACTTTTTGATAAAGTTGCATGGATAGTGATAGAAGAAGGGAAATCCACCCTCCCAGGTGCAGGAACCAGAAAGAAAAAAGGGACAAGCTCCGAATATTTCCAGACTCACAAAAGGTAAATGGAGCATAGAGATAGGGATGGGCTGAGATAGATAGAAGTGGCTACCAGGCACTGATAGAGACAGATGGCTTCCTCTGTAGATGAGCTCTGCTTAGAGACTTTTTCTAAGTCTAGTCTTGGGGTAACAGTATAATGTCAGTTTTTTTACATTTGTTAGAGCTGACTGGAACAGATAACTTCATTGGCACATATCCACTATGAACCTAAATATTTTTGCTGGCAAAAATGTACAGACTGCCAAGATTCCTTTCAGTGTATATGTGAAATTGGGGAAAATGCATCACTTATATTTATTTAAATTGAACTGCCACTTTGTTCCTTTTGGAGTTATTCACTGCTTGGCTCTAAACCAAGATAAAATATGAACAAGTTTAAAAACATTAATCGCAGCATAGAACTTTGAGAGAGTACGCTTCTTATTTCCTTCCATTGGGAATATTGCTTATTTGCTTTGCTTTCTGTCTTTAACCAAATAATAATATTGCTAAACTGCTCAGGAGTTTGAAGACATCTGACCTACATTCTATATTGTGGGTGAAAAAAAGGAAATCCTCATTGTGATAATAGATAAACGTTTGTTAGATCTCTTCAAGCACATGGAAAAGCAATATGGAAAAGAATTCTCCCTAAGCAAATATTTTCATTGATGTACCTCCTTTCTCTACATAATACAGCGGTTCTCAACCTATGGGTCGCGACCCCATTTGGGGTCGATCGACCATTTCACGGGGGTCGCCAAGCAAGGCTGTCCGCCATTTTTTTCCCCTTTTCCGGTGGGTGCTTTACCTCCCTTGGGCTGGGCCAGCTGGTGGTCGGCCTGCTCCGTCTCTGCTGCTTGCCAGCTATGCCTCGGCCAGCGCAGGGGGCGGAACCACGCATGCGCGGCGCTCCCGGGCAGGGAAAGTCCTCGACTTACGACCGGTTGGGTAGTCCTCGACTTACGACCGGTTTAGTCCTCGACTTACGACCGGTTGGGGGTCACGGCATTAAAAAGGTTGAGAACCACTGACATAATACTTATCGTCAGTTATGTTAATGACATATATCATTACAGCAAGTAATGCAATATATATTTCTATGCAATGATATTATCTATGGCTTAGCACACACTTATTTAGATTTTAAATTATTGTTTCTCGATGTCTTGGTGATATAGGGAATGGTAGAAGTAATAGCAGAAAACTATCATAACATTTGGGCAAAAAAGAAGAAAATTGAATTGGAAAATAAAGGTAAGAATGAAATATTTTAATCAGCGTTTGATATAGAAATATATGAAAACGTGACAGTAATTGTCTATGACTGTTTTCAAAATTTTGCTATTGCAGTAAGTATTACTAAGTTACGGTTTTCTTACAGGAGGAGGTGGTCATCCATTGTTGGTACCTTATGACACGTTGACAGCCAAAGAGAAAGCTCGAGATAGGGAGAAAGCCCAAGAACTATTCAAATTTCTTCTTGTAAATGGCATTGCCATATCTAGGTAAGTTACACATGACATACAGATAAGATTCTCTGTTCAAGTGTTTTCTTCTGTGTGGTTTTAGCAAAAGCTCAAGCAATAATTTAGGACAGGGGTAGTCAACCTTGGCTCTTTTATGACTCGTGGACTTCAACTCCCAGAATTCCTGAGCCAGCCCTGCTGAGCACAATGGTAGTTGTGATCCTAGTTACATCAGTCACAACCTTCCCTGCATTCACACCATCACAATCCAGGTGCTTGGTGCCCGGATTGCAATTTTGACATTGCATTGTCCCGTGGTCACCTGATTGCCATTTGCAACCTTCTTTGCCAGCTTCCTGCAAGCAAAATTAATGGAGAAACTGCCAGGCAGACACAAATGGTGACCCCCATGATTTCCTTGCTTCATAACTTGCAGTGTTTTGCCATCCATGTTGGAATTTCCATCACTACGTGGTGCAATCATGTGATGTCGCACTTTATGACTGTGTTGCTTAGCAAGGGAAATTCTATGGTTATATAAGTCCCAGCTTTGCAAGAAAAGCAGGGTCTTTTCACTTATGGATGCATCAGTTGATTTGTACCACTACCTAGGAACTCTTACCTTCATAAGAAAATGATGTCTCACCCTGTCCTAACTGGAAATGGATAAAAGAGATTATGATTATTGGTAACATTTAAATAAGAATGAATGGAATGGCAAGATGATAGCCACACAAACATTAGTCTGGTATCATGTTTCCTATTATGGATTGAGAGAAGGTGGTCCCTTTATTTTTTTCTTTCTTTTTTCCCCTATATAATCAATACTATTACTACTACTACTACTACTACTACTAATAATAATAATAATAATAATAATAATAATAATAATAATAATAATAATAATAATAATAATAATAATAATAATAATAATAATAATAATAA